TATCGGAAACGCGGTTTACGTTTCGGCCTAAAATAGATGCGGTATTTAAACCGCCATTCTTTTCGCCGGGGACTGTATACCGTCATAGTTCAAATCCATTTCGTAAAATGAATGCGCACACCTATAAGTGCAATCAAGTATTAATTAATTAATGTATTAAAGAGTCAAACTAAATTTGCGCACTTACCAGTAACCCATATGCCAAAGGAAATCAAGTCATTCATTGTTTCGTGTTTCTTGATTATTTCGTTCAAAGTAGCCACTTGGAAGTCACCGAGTTTGATGAAATCTTTTTCACCATGAGTCCTTTGGTTTTACCTCGCCAAAGAGAATTTCATCTCTGTCATTATTCAGAATCTTAAAGTCGGGTTTGTTACCTTTGACTGTGTTTTTCTTGTTGTTGGAACGTTGCCCTTTCGATGCAGTACTCTCGCTATTTGCCCTTTTAAATCAAACATCAAAGGATAAATAGAAGATATATAGTAAAACAAAAATTATGTCTAAATGCTTATAAACATACCATACTAATTCCAATAATGGGTCGCGAAACATCTCATTGATTAAGTCATGTAAAGTGCTGTGGACAAAAGTGTCCTCATTGTTTTTATTAATAGAATCTAGTAGAAAACTGTAAAGATATTAGTATCAAATTAATTATGAAAACTTTACAATGTGATAGTTACAAGTTTCGTAAGATAATCTGGCATTTGCAAAAATTCGCCCTATCTTCTTTATTTAACCCTGCAACTTTTGCGAAATTTGCACACCACCTATTTTCAATTTCGTCTAGTGATGCGAAACAATTTAACAACTAGAATGGAAGAAGTTGCTTAGTAGTGTTACAATCCAACACTAAATCTGTGAATAAGAAAATTAAATCTTACCGAAGAATATTCTGAAATTACAGTCGTAATTACTAATGACAGAAACGGAGATGTTTGTCTTCGACAAATTGTGCTCCAAATCGCTTGATCGCAAGTCAAATACGATGGTTTTTTTTGTTCAACCAGCATTATATTTGATAAGCATCTATTTAATGAGAATAATGAATATAATATGAAGTATCTACAGAAATCCATGATACAGGTGGAATGCAATACTTACAGAATTTTATGAATGTCTTTTTTATAACATAAATACGAATTTTCCTTGACTTGTTTAATTGTTAGTTGTTGAAAATTTCGAAAATCGTTGGAGAGATTGTGGTTTTCGAAAATCCACTGAAAAAGCGCGTAATCATTTTAGTTAATATATGGTATGCAACGAAGCATTGACCGCATCGTGTACTCACATCCTTTTTCGAAGCGTCTCTAAAATCAATATTACCAATGGCATCTTTCCATGAATATAGAATTTTATAAAGTTTTCCGGCATCGTAATATTTGGACTCGATATCTATAATATATGAATTAGATTCCTCTCAGAAATGTCGCAAAAACTAAATATTTTATTACCTTCTTCAAGATGAGGTTTGGAAGACGGACCAGATGTTGATGAACACGAACCGGAAAACTCTTGTTTTATTTTCGGGTCCGCTGACATTAATATCGAACTATCATCATTCTGTTGCGACTCCATGAGGCGAGGTTTCTTCGAGCCAGTTTCCTCCGGAAGGAGATCATCTATGCGACTTCGGATTGCTTTGCTTGTTTTTTTTTGGTTAATGTCTTATCGATAGAAGCCTGGTAAAATATGAAAAAATTTAAGATATACAAATCTTGGATACGACACATCACAACATGTTTGACAAACCTTCTCCTTATTGAGAACGCAAGCAGATTGTGTCGATAGAAAATAATCATCGATTGCTCTCGTGTAATGACCATTATTGTACTTTTGTTTAAGTTCGACTAGTTTTTCATCATTGCTAAGTGCGAGGCTTGCACTGAGCGAGGAGCACCAATCAGAGACACCTTTACTCTTTGCTGTGTAATTAAATTTCTTAAAAAATTCCACCGGCGTGCACTTTTCCTCCCTGATAAAAAAATTCACTTTTGGAGAAATCGAATTCGTCATTTTTGTCGTTAGGACAGACATTGCTACCTACAGAAAGACGCGTCGACTATCGACGTGTAGTTCGACGTATTGATATATATTATGTTATATGTTACACAGAACTCGTGGCAGGTGACTGTGTTATTTATATTTCGCGCGTATAACTTACTTTTATATTTCTTTGTAGAACAGAGGTGTGTCCTGTCAGATGTGGTCTGGCATAAATTGGCCTTTCTCCGTTAGGAGCCCTGTTTGTAACTAGATCCTCTCACAGAAGACAGTATAACTATTAATCGCTCAGAGGAACTTCGGTTATCCCATAATTAAGGTTGTGGCTCGCGCTTGGATATCAAGAGTTATACTGTGAGCGCGCGCATGGAAATGAAAGTTTTCTTTTGATGTCTTGTAAGTGTTTCGTTAAGCAGAGTTATCTTGCCGATCGCTTTGTACTAATGGTTTTTTGATTTGTTCTTATTGAATATTATAGCAAAAGATTTCTTGACCCTATAACGTAATTCACTGCAGGGTTGGTCAAAAACTTCGGTTATTCCCTCGGGGTGGCACCTGTTGTTGATTTGCGTTTATAGAAGACAATGCGCTAATTTATCATTCTGAAGAACTTCGGTTATCCCATAACTAAGGTTGTGGTTCATGATAAGTTGCCAAGAGTGTGCATTGTGCGCTCGATCACCTTTGTTGGAAGCAGAGCTACGGTATAAAAATCTGATGTAAAGTATTAGGAATCATATTTATTATTACTCTACAATATCAGAACAATTTGAATAAATTACAAGCATTTTTATTTTTCCGATGCACCCGCATACATAACGAATCTTGGAGAAGCGAATGAAATGTATGATGCTATCAAAGAGGGAGGGAGAACGCGGATTAGCAATTGAGAAAAAATAGGGCAATGTAATATACACTTACCATTATTATTAATTTTCGCAACATTCCATTCCGCCTGAAATTTATTGCTTAACGCATTATATTAAAGGTATTTCGATTTTTTTATCGCACGTACGATACTGCGTAGAATTCGGCAAGTGAAGATGCTTATGATTCCTGATATACTTGCGCCAGACCTTTGCTGTGAAGTTGCATGTGACGAGATTCATGTGAGTAATTTCACTGCGCCTATTATACGCGTGATGATGGTCAGTTGATTTTCTCGGCGAAGATCAAAACGCCGATATATAGTAAAAAAAAAGTAATATGTCCATTTTATTTTGGGATATCTATAGAGGAGGAAAAATAGATTAACATCGTGATGACATGTTTTAAGAAGCTAGCTGAGCAATAAAACCAACATACCTTATTATAACTTTGCGGAATATACGGGTTCGTTTGATTGTAAATATTGATGATGCAAATAATGGTAACCTTGATTGGTTTGAATTTTTTTGTTTTACTTGCGCAAGGCGAATAAAAGGATTCACTAACGGGGACATCACCTTTTTATATAATTTCCAGGATCGATTTTGGAATACGCTTGAGGAAAATTAAGTTAATCACAAAAATCTGATCAACAGCTTTTAAAAACTTTGATGCTACCCATATGTAAAGATCATCAAGGGCCCTTTTAATAATAATATACATAAGAATTTTGAGAAAGTTTGAGATTAAATTATTTTGCGCAATTACTTATTCCTGTGATTGTGACGTCTTTATTAAATGTTACTGCGCATTTATTTATCAAGTTCTGGATTGATATATTAGCATATACGCTTCTCACAATCCCATAACCCACTCCATTTATAACCGAGTTTGGCAAATTAGTTGTTCATATAAGGTCAAAAAAAAAATTCTTTTGGCAATGATATGTGCATTTTTTAGGTGATTGAACTGCCTATGTTACAATTGCGAACTGAAATTTATTTCTTGCGACTAGTAAATCAATAACTATGCATAGCTACATGATAGAATATTTTTATTTATGCTAAGGAGTATCATATCCCACATCACTATCTTCATCACCAGGATCCAGATTCTCAATTTCCTTATTAAAGGCTGTAATATTGTTTGAAGTTAATGAGATGGAGTTATTCTCATTATCTTTATCATAGTCATAAAAACCCTTGACATCAGAACCAGGATCAGAAGGTGGGTTTTTAGCTTTTCTTTCACAATCTAGCATTTTGTCATGAGTATTATTTCTTTGTATTTATTTAAGGTTTTCTTTGATGTGAAACTTTTATCACATACGTTACACCAATTTTGGACAGCTAAATACAAAATGCTATTTCATTAGCATAATAATTTATCAATTATTGTTAAGACTTGAGAATTATGAAACGCACATCTTGGACTACAAGATTAATTTTATTTGGATCTGGATTATTAAAATGCAATCCAATCTTTCTGAATCCTTCTATAATCCTGATACCTTTTATAACAGACTCGACATTTGAGTCAGCATTTTGAAGTTGTTCAAGCACTACCCTATTGCTAAGATCGATATCTACTGATCATAACTTGATGCTGAGACTACCATATTCAAAAGTATCTTTTTGATTTTCCTTTATAGCTTCTCGAAGGTCACAAATAAAATCATTTTCATCAATTTTAATTCTGAACTGGCCTTTAATAGGATTCTCTTTAACAACACAGTTAAGAGAAATTTTAGTCCTTTCAGCCATTTCTTTGTATACAGGCAAACTCATTCTTGAAATTGGTATATATCCATATTTATATTTCAATTTTTAAAGCATCTTTCCCACAACAAATCTGTTATAGACTGGTAATCACTGCGGTTAATGACCTTCAGCCTACTGTATAGGGAAAATTATATCCCTTTTTGCAATGGTGATTTTTACGTAAAATCAGGTTGTCTTCTGTGATCGTTTTCACTGAAAAGCATTTTTTGTATTTTTTTAAAAAAAAGATGGTAATTAATAGCATACGTAACCTATCTAATAAAATGATCAATACTCCAGACTAGCTGGATTAGGCAAGATCTGTAGATGACATATTGGGATATATATCACTAATTCCTATTCAAAAAAAGATTAATTTCATTCTTAATTTTAGCGATTTTTTGTTTGAGAACCCTACATGACAACGATCTCCATGAATATTGCTAATATAATGAGTGGATAAGACTAAAAATGACATGCTTTCCAAAGAGTTGAATAATGTCAAACTGGACATGATTAGATAAATTGATGCGTAGTAATTTTATTAAGAGATTATTAGTAGATCAAGTTTTTTTTAGATATTAATGATTGATTTTTTTAATATACAATTCTCTTGTGTAAATGTGTTGAGAAAAAGGTTTATTTTATACTGTATGCTTACTACGCGTAAAAAGAGAATTTAACCTGATTTAATAAAAATTATGTTGCTTTATTATGTGTATTTGTCATAACTACATTTTTCATAATTATATTTTTCAGCTAAAACAATTATAGCAGTTTGGATCCTGTCTAATAATAACAGATGTTCTTCCTTGAATTTGAGATGCATTTAACAATAATGCTTAAAATAAAATCTGATGAATTATGGTTTTATGATAACTTGATATAATAATAATAGAGCAATGCTGTATTTCAAAATTTTCCATTTATTTTTAAGATCTTTTGTGAAATAGAAGATCACATGTGGTGTATTTAAAGCTCTGAACAATTCAGATTAATCTGAAAATTTTCAGTTTAGATCAACTTCGGTTCAGTTTCGGATTGCAAAAAATTCAATTTAAAAATTTTTGGTTCAGTTCAGATTTTTTTCAGATTATAAATCTAATCCAAACCAAAAAAAATCTGAACTGAATCAAAAATTTCAGATTAATTCAAAATTTCAGATCATTTGAAACAATTAAAGTTATCGTTTCAAACGAATGATAAGAGAATTATTCAATTAGAATGATGAAACTATCATTCTAAATGAATAATAAGAGAATCGTTCAATTGGAATGATGAAACTATCATTTTAAACGAACGATAAGAGAATCGTTCAATTGGAATGATGAAACTATCATTCTAAATGAACGATAAGAGAATCATTCAATTAGAATAATGAAACTATCATTCTAAATGAATGATAAGAGAATCGTTTGATTAGAATGATAGAACTATTATTTAAATAAACGATAAGAGAATCGTTTGATTAGAATGATAAAATTATTATTCTAAACAAATGATAAGAGAATCATTCATTTGGAACGATTGAAGTTATCATTCCAACTGATCTGAAATTTCAGATTAATCTGAAATTTTTAGTTCAGTTTAAATTTTTACTGGTTTACAAATCGGTTCAGTTTCAGATTGGCCTATAATCCAAACTGAACTGAACCATTCAGAGCATTAGATGTATTTTTGTTTGAGTTCACAATCTCTATTTTAATTATAATCACAAAAAATCAGAATACTTGTTCATTATAAATCGAGATCTGTAGATGATGAATCATACATATAATTCTTATTCAAAAATGGATTAATATTTGAGTAACCTGTACACATAATTTGATTATGCTAACATCAGTAGAATAATAAAAAATTACCATTTATTTGAGGATCTATAAATCATCGATTCTAATCAGCTCTATTTTTATTTTTGAATTTCTTTTTAATGACATCCTATCTTACAATCTGCAAAATGTAAATCAGGGATGTAGTTTTTTTATTAGTAATTCAGAACTGCATAATGAATGAGATAGAATATACCAGAACTTCTTTCAGCTTGACGCTGGAGAAGGTTCATCAGTATAACAACACAAAAATATTGAGTTTATTAATAGATTCTTTGCCTTAGCGTTTTCAACAAAAATGATAACTGCAGATGCTAGTGACATACTACTGCACTTAGCATATTCTGCAGATTTACATAGACCAGTGATATGTTACTGTAAGACATCAAAAAAATTTAGATGATGTTTACATGCTATCTAAGCCATCCACATGATTTAAAAAAAAAGAAATGAAGTAATAATAATTCAGCCAATATGAGTATCCTAGGCAGTCACTAGAGAGATGATGGGACTCATTACTGACTGAGGTATATGATCATCAAAATATATCTCATGTTCTAAAACTTTCATGATGATTTTATCAAGATTATTAATAGCATTTTCATCAACTGGCTTAATTTCGTTCGCTTTCTCCTTAGGAAAATAATCCTCTAGGTTAGGCTTAGTTGATGTTTTATCCTCTAACTTTGCTATCTTTACTATTTCTTCACGCGTGAGCCTTTCATGAAATTTGTGACCATACTTATCATTAGAATTAGAGTCATCAGATTTGAAATATACATCAGAATCAGATTTATTTGTATTAGACTCAGATTCATTGTCTGACTTAAAATAATCTGTAACATCCAATGATGCATCATTAAAATTATCATCTGAATTGTAAGCTGAAATAATAGCCACAGTTTCAGAGATTTCGTTTATATAATTAATGATTATTTTTGATTTAACTTATTCTATAATATAATTAATTTGAGGATTAGTGAGCCTTGAAATTTTGTTGGCGCTATAGGTGACCTATTAAACCATATATTCTAGTATACCTTTAATCTTTTTCAAAGTTATAGGATCATATCTATACCCAAATAATTTATTGATTTTTCTCACTTTATAGGTCATTATTTGTAAATATCCAATCAAAACGTTTATAAGGTATAGTTTCATTTCATTATAGATCTGCTTTCTTGCAGTAAGATTTGTAAGTTTTTTATTATTAGGCTTAAGCTCTATAACTTTATCTTTGAACCTTTCAAAGAATAAATATTATAATATAATCTCTGATCGCTTTGCTATGATCATTTTATTTCTTGCAATATTTGTCTAGCAGAATGAATTAGCAAGTTTTTTAATGCTTATTGATCTGAAAACTATGATTTAGAAGAAGAAAACTTTATAGTCTGAAGTGGATCATCAGATGAGAGTAGCTTTTTCAACAAATCTTGTATAAATTCAGTTACTATACTTGAAGAAGTCTGAACATTCTCACTATTCTTAGTCAGTAGTAAAAATGACACCTCAATTAGTTACAACAGGTGACAAATAAGCATCACAATGTTGCAACGAATTGCAATATTATTAAAATTTAAGTTATAACAGATGACAAATAAGCGTCACAATGTTGCAATACTATCTTTAATCGATAGGATGTGCCCTAGTAAGCTATCAGAAGAATTTTCTTTCTCTGATTTTTCTGTCTTTACATTTCTATCTATCTTCAAGGAGACGTTAGGAGGAATATTGGTAATTTCTTCCTCCAGTTTTTCATATGATAATTTTGAATTTTTGGTAAATCTCTTAGCATTATTAAGAGTTTTTATATCATGTGATATTTCAGAATTTTTAGAAAGCCTAGAGTTTATATTATATGATACTTTCGATTCTATTATGAAATTTACAATACTCTTTTAGATTTCTTCCTGAAAGATATCTACAATGATCGATTGTGATACAACTGTCTCTATTTTACTAGAAGATTCTGAAGAAGAACAGTTTGTATTAATCTTTGGCTCATCTGACTTCTCAACATTATTAACAGTTTCTGATACATGAGTATTACTGGAGATACCATCTTAGCTAGCTAATTCATGCTAAAGTTTCTTCTCCTTATTGTATCACTTAATATCTTTACCAATGCTTTTCTTATATATCTCACCCAAGAAATTATCCATCTTTTTCTTCTGTAATGATTTTTCATAATGGTCTATATCTAAATTGAAGTTAGATGAGTTATTGTTAGAGGTTTGGATATTATTAATAGGAGTATTATCAATTAGTAACTAATTCTATTTTACTTTCATGAGTCTATCTTTAAACCTAACTTTCTTAGATTCCAATTCCTCGATTCTAGCCTTGAGTTTAGCATTTTCAGCATCATGTCTCTCATTATATTCTCTATTCGCTCTTAAAATCTCAACATTCCTGTGCTTAAGTTTAGCCATTTCAGCATCAGATATTGAGATCTTGATTTTAAGATTAGAGATTTCAGTATTCTCCTTTTTAAACTCTGCATTCTCAGCCTTAAGTTTAGTAATACACTATTTTAATGATTTAGGCTCAGATAACATGATCTATATATATAACTAATACACTATATGTAAACATTTAAAATAAAAATATGTAGGTTATTTTAACTAATCGTTAACAGTTTTTGTCAAGTAAAATTTTTTTATTAATGCATGTAAAAAATAAATACAAATGTTCAGGATGTAGCCTGAGATACATTATTTTTGATATTTTTTGATTCTAGCTCTCTTACTAGCTGAAGAACTATCTACACTAACCTTATCTTTTAATAACTTAATAATAATACCTATTATTCTTTTTACATTGCTTCTAAATAACTTAGGATTTTCTTTGACGGCAGATTTCGTGAAATTAATCTGGTACTCACTACTACTTATACAGTAAATACCGTCTGAAGTATATATTATAAAATGCTACTCTATCCTCATAGTCATAATGCCATAAAGATAGTCAAAGTAATCTTCATTAAATGCTTGATCTGCAATTTTTTTTTCTTATTTGTTTGGAATGCATTTTCAAGTTACGTTAAATTCTAAGAGATAAAATATATTATCCTTTAGTCTTTTTCCTCTGGTCATTTCAAAGCCAATAGATTGAGAAGACAAACAATTTTACCAGAGCATATTCAATCTTAATATTATGCGGTTTTCCTTTAGTAATATAAAAGAGGTCTTTTAA